ACTATGGTGACCAGTAGGCGACGATGAGACTTATTGAAACGGGGGGACAAGACAAATAAAAAACTAATAAAGAGACACAAAAGACAAAGGAATTAAACTCTTATTCTAGACATTTGCAGAAAAACATAAATCGACTGCATTTAGGAAAGATCGCAGGTTGCCAAAACGTCTCTGATAGGAACATAGGGTTGCCTGCCTTGGACCTCGAGAGGGGTGTTGTGTGTTGTCCTTGTCTAGTGTTAAGAGTTCAGTCTGTGCAACCTCTGTGACGGTGTCAAATGTCTGTTTTTACTCTTCAACGAGACCTAGCGATTTGCCTATCACTCCAAAATACTCACCCTCAAGTCCACGAAATACACTAAAAACAAGTCTGATATCACATTCGCGATCCATCGGATTATGCTGACAGTACAGCGTCTTTGAAATAATTTTCTTACACGACGTTACAATATCCAATTTCTTGTCGCATACTTCACCCAGCAATCTAAAACACATCGGCATGATCAAAGGGGCCTCCCTTAGCTCAGTCGGTAAAGGCGCAGCTACAAAATAAGACCATGCTGGAGGTGGCTGGGTTCGATTCCCGGTCCGGTCTAGGAATTTTTTGGGTTGGAAAATTTCTCGACTTCCCTGGGCATAAAAGTACACACTTAGAAATAACTACTTTTACACGAGACGTAATCCATATTGGACGTAAATCATAGAACGTAAACAAACATTTCATGTAAAATTAAGTGTTCTCAAACCGAAACATCAGCTAGTCGACGAGGACAACGTTTGATTGAATTGATTTTCACGTTTCTTTCAACTGATTCTTATGTCAAAAGGCCCGCTTAAAGGGTGTCCACGATGAAATTGCCACACACAAAATTGATTCGCAAAATTCGAGTTTTCATCCGATTGCCATCAAATTTTCAGGGATTGAGAAATAACTATTAAACTTCATTTTACCATTTTACTCGTATTTTATTTACAGTCCATACGCAAATGCCCGCACCTTGGCCTTAACCCCGGCCATAAGATTCTGCACAACCTGTGAATCAACCGTTTTTTGCATGTAAACCCATACTTTCTTCAGTTCCTCGACTGTCTTCACTACCTTAGGTCGTTTAAGAAGGTGCTGCTTCATAATTGCCCAGTACTTCTCGATGGGGCGGAGCTCCGGAGTGTTGGGAGGGTTGAACATTTTCGGCACGAAATTGACCTTATTGTCCGCATACCACTTCAGCACGTCCTTGGAGTAGTGGTATGAGGCCAAATCCGGCCAGAAGATTGTTGGGACGTTGTGGGCCTTCAGGAGAGGAAGCAGCCGCTTCTGAAGGCACTCTTTTATGTACACCTGTCCGTTCATCGTGTCCTGGGTCACGAAAGGTGCACTCCGCTTCCCGCACGTGCAGATGGCTTGCCAAACCAGGAATTTCTTCGCAAATTTGGACATCTTCTGAGTGCGGACATGCTCCGGAACGCTGAACTTATCCTTGGCCGTGAAAAACAGGTTGCCGGGGATCTGTTTGAAGTCGGGCTTCACATATGTTTCGTCGTCCATGATGCAGCATTCAACTTTCGTCAGCATGTTGAGGTACAACTTCCTGGCACGGGTTTTGGCGGACTTGTTCTGCTTCTCGTCGCGATTAGGGGCCTTTTGTACCTTGAACGTTCGAAGCCCAGCCTTAGTTTTGGCCTTCTGGACAAAACTTCGGCTTAGGTGCAGCTTCTTAGCCACATCCCTAACGCCTCCGTTCGGATTTCGGTTGAAGGCCCCAACTACGCGGTTGTGATTTTTGGTGTTGTACGGAATACTTTTTCCTTCACTTCTGGGCTTCCGATCGGTGGTCAACCGTTCCTCGAACCGCTTAATCACTCGCGACACCGTGGAATTCGCGATTCCCAAAGTTTTAGCGATGGAACGATGCGAGAGATCCTTGTTCTCGTGATGAATGCGCAAGATTTTATCACGCACGAGCTGTTCTTTCGACTCCATTTCCGCGAGTTTTGATCACAGGACTTTAAAACTTGCAGGATGTAAATAATGCACTATGAACTAAATCCACCCAAATTTTCATTAAATTCTACCCAACGGTTAAAAAGTTAGAGCAATTTCATAGTGTGGCAATTTCATCGTGGACACCCTTTACATGTGTCGGTCTCAGGGAACCGAAATTTACATGACTTTTTAGTAGTGTGTATGATTGGACTTGCCACACAATTATACCAATGCAAAAATGGTACAGGCATCGAAAGCTCTCAATTAATAACTGTGGAAGTGCATCTAGAACACTAAGTTGAGAGCACGCAATAAGCTAAATATTCGATATGCAATAAGCTTGAAATGCGAAGAAGAAGAAGAAGAAGATGATCAAAGTTAATCATGCCTGTCGGACCGCTATCAATCACTTCAGAGTTTTGTGTTTCCTGGGTAACCCTGGGTATGGAATGCATTGGGTATGTTTTTCTTCAAATAGAACTGGCTTCATTGGAGAAGATAGCATTAGGTATTCGGAGACGAATTCCAACGTCGACGGCAGATCCTAAAGCAGCAATGAGCAGCATATGCTAGACCAACAATTGAAATAGGCGGAACAACGAAACGTAAGCAATGTCTTTAACCGCAAATTTCTCGAGAATCAAAACTACCATTCTCCACCAACAACAGTCCATTATGTGTTCGTTCATTGAATAAAATGACCCACTTATTTCGCATCTTATGAAAAACTCCCCATGGGATTTGAATGTTGTTTGATTACACAAAACTTCGAATACTTTTATAAGGATTTCGAGTTCCCCTTCAAGCACTTCCACGTCCAGCAGTTCACATGAAAACACCGTGATCATCGAACCCATTCTGCTGATAAAGCTTGCGTGACCGCACCGGCCTGGCCACCCAACCACACCGCAATCAAAGGAGATAACATCAATCAAAGGACTTTAATCCCAGCTGTCACGTCACATCAGGCGACGAACCCTGCCACGGGATGACCATGGCAACGGGTGCAAAATATCACGCGAGGAAATTCTACACCAGGCCCAAGGTGTGGATGAAAATTACAAAGCCATAAAAATTCCAGGACTCAGTCCGTCTGCTGCGGAACAATCCACAATCACGGCCCCCTGGTCCCTCGTTTAGGGAAATTAAAATCGTATTAAAATATTTTCTGATGATTGATAATCATATAAACAATCATCCTCGCATTAGTTCACGTGGAATCAAGGTGCAAAACGGTAGTCATGCAACGCGTTGCGTCGCACGATGACGACAGTCTTGAGTGACGGTACTCTCATATGAAAAAAAAAAACAAATCATTAACGCAAGAATTCGCTGGAAAACTTTCAACTCACGTATCCCGGCACCCGGATTGCGTCAATATTTGCATCTCCCGGGAGCAAAATGCGGTTTTGCACCAGCTACGTGGTTGTTCGGTTCTCGAATGTTCTCACCGGCGACAGTAGAAGGTGGTTGTTTGTTGACTCAAGTGGGTGATTGAACCAATTGGAAGGAACTCCGAAGCGAAGTTTGCGGATGCCGTAAACAGTCGGTCCCTTTGTACTACACAGCTAGACTGATCAAATCCAGACGAATATTTTACCTCGTTAAACGGCAAACGGGCGACTGCGGCGAACTGTTCAAATCTTCATCCAAATTTGTTTCCGATCCGTGCCGTCCTACTAAGTGTCGTGTCAACCGTTGACTCACCCCTCGTTTCCGTCAACGAAACCGAAAATGCTATCACCATCAATATTTAAGCACTTAATTGAAACGGGCAGGCGATTCATAAATCTAATGAAATCACCCCTTTTCTGTTCGGAAAATGTGATTGTTATTGTCGCTTGACGTGCAGTTCCAGCACAATCCTAGCACTATTCCGTAGATCTCCTGTTCGGAGGAATATTTGGATGGGAAGCTTTCCATTGCAATCGAGGGAAAAAAAGGAACTTGACACGCAAATCTAAAATAAACATCAAATCAGCCTCGTTTCCCGAGAAAAAGTTTACCACTATTTGAGGTTATGTTTGGATAATTACATCCACATGCAAGTGACAAACTAACGTAATTTGATTGGAATTTTTATTCGGGCTTCCACACGGGTGTCCTTTCCGTCCCCTTCGCAATTAGGAAATGAGGTAATAAATTTGTTCAAATTTGTACGTCCATTCCCGTTTGTCGAACGATCCGGACCCAAATCCAATGGCCTTTCTTTGTTCCCATCTATCTATCTTGCACTGCGTCCCAAGGAAGGTGCGGGTAGGTTTCACTTTCAATGACCATCCAAAGCGAGGTTATCTCAGATTAATAAATTTAAGCCCCCGCCTTCTCCGCTGTCACCCTCGCAATCGGTTTGCATGGAGGGTTCCTCAGGTGTCCCGGGACTATGCGCAGCAGCATAATGTTTGTCGGCACAAAGTTCGGAATTTATATCTGTGTCAGCAGGACCGATCGCTGGTGGTACAAAGGAAACCGATTGTGCCAAATAAGGATATCGGTTGTAAAACGTTCGCGGTAACAAAAGCAAACAAGAAACGGGACTGCCTCGGCTGCGCTTTCCCAAGACGGAATTGTTCTACTGAATGTCGACGGTTATTGGAACATTGTGTTTGATTGTTTGTAAAGTTGGAAGTGCCGCGCTCCGCTGGAACTGGCGCTTCTGTCGGTGCTGGTGCCGAGGTTTACCACACACGAACTGCCGCTACTTTGCGTTTTGTCGAGTCTGATTTGGGATTTTTCCTAGGGGAGTCTGGGGAGCCATGTATCCTGATTTTTCGCACACACGGGACCCCCTTGTTTATTCGTAAGGGGTCCTGACTTTTTTCGTGTACAACAATCAGGGTACATGGCATCGCTGCTGTAAAGTAATTCTTTGCAACATATTAATTTCATTGCTTGACAGATTGACAGTTTGACACTTTGACAGATTGACAACCCTCTTTTGTACCATCGACAGATCCCTGGTAAACTTCATTTCCACTTACCTTCTCCTCTCGTTCTTCTCTCACGTTTATTCCAGGTGAAAAACCGCACAAATGTGTCGTCTGCCTCAAAGCCTTCAGTCAAAGTTCGAATCTCATCACACACATGCGCAAGCACTCCGGCTACAAACCATTTTCATGCGGGCTATGCGATAAGGCGTTCCAGCGAAAAGTGGATCTGCGTCGTCATCGCGAGGGACAACACGGTGAAATCATCGGCACCGTTGGCGGAGCAGGGGCACCGCCCAGCAGCGCCCTTTCACCGGCGGATGATTTCAAGCCGAGTAACATCTCCTCTGTGGGTGCTGGTAGTCCCGCGAGTCCCGATCACCTCCACCGCAGCTCACCCCCGAACCAATCGGCGGCTATGGCGGCCGTTGCCGCTGCGGCTGTAGCTGCGGCAGCCGCTGCAGGCTTCCACCACAATCACCACAACCAGCACCAGCATGCTCATCATCGCAATCACAACCACCACGCGGACATTAAAATGGAAGTTAGCAGCAGTTGTTCATGATTCGACCCGAACTGGGCCCGGCTCACGATGATTTAGTTTATTTTATACCTACCTTTGTGTTACACATTCTCCCTCACAGTCCCCACAAGCCTAATGACGATTTTTTGTTTTGAAAACGTAGAAAAAAATGAGATACAAACTCTGACAACAACAACAGATGTTGCTCAATTTGGGCGCTTCTTCTTCACACTGGCCTACTGCGCACCGTGTTGCTGCTGCTTAAGGTCCCGCTCGCAACACGCGTCAGATGACGTTTCGGTTCTTTTTTCGGGTTTTGCTTTGTTCTTTCGTCGCTTAAGGAACCATCCACAAATTACGTAGTATTTGAGGGGGAGGGGGTGTTTCAGAAGTTGTGACCGGTCATGTATTAGGTGTCAAATTGTCAAAAATATTTTACGTCATTTATGGATGTTCTCTAACTGTGGCGGCGAGGCGAGGCGAAATCGAAAGCAATCTGAATCAAACACAATAAATCAAAAAATCAGCGATGCTTCTAAGATCCATTAATGTTCTCGGGATGAAAGTTTCACCTAACTTATGATAATTTTGTACAGAGTAGTCGTACTGGTCAACCGAGTTGTAGACGTACTGGTTAAGCTTAATCACACACACACACACATTTCCTAGGTTTAGTTAGTTAATTTTTCGATCTAGGCAAACCAAAGCTAATCGACCTTCGGTTAGGAAGACAATTTTGGCTCGACTCCGAAAATAAGCGAAGCTTCAGACACCAAATTCCGCACGCTTGTAAATAGCTTTTTATTTATTCGAAAATCTAGTTTCTGAATCCCTTTTGTGCTTAAATCAATAATGTCTAGTCTTCTTTGTATGATAGAAAAAAAACGATCAGGGAACCAACTCGTTTTGCGAGGAGGAAATCCCCTGGGGGAAACGAGAGGCGCTTTTGTTACCGAAAAAAAAATGAGAAGAATGAAAACTGAAACAACAAGAGGAAGGTTCTTCAAACTGTAGGCCCCACTGTAAACAAATCTCAACAAAAGTTGGAAGAACCTTCCCGCACACACACACACATTGCAGTCAAGCAAAAAACGAGAAATGGCAGCGCATTAGTCATGAATAGAGTTCTCACTCAGTTATTCATAAACAGCTATCGAACCAAAGACTCTATATTTGTAAACGACAACCGAATCGAAAGCACTTTTGTAACTTGTACACTGTGAACTGCTTGCTTTACTTTTTGATTGATTATTATTTTGTTTTCCAATGTACTATATGCTTTCCCCTTTTTATAACTGTTTCCTTACGTGCCGCAACAACCGTCCGATTTAGTCGTACTATGTATTTCTTTTTTGTTTGTTGTATACAACTTTCCGATCTTTGTTCGTTCGAAATTTGTTATTTAGTATTCTAGTGAGGCGCGAAGGAGAAGAAAAAAAATCAGCTGAAATGATGATCGTCCAAAAATGAAATAGTTTGTAAGGCTTTTGCATTTTTTTTTATATAATCTAAGATGTACAATTTTGTTAGCTCAATAGTCAGTAGTAATTTATGTTAGTAGGAATTTTCTTTTGAACTACAGTTACGGTAGTTCAGGTTAGTCAAGTTTAGGTTTCAAATGTTAGTATTATGTTTATCTTTTAAAAATAACTTTTAAGGTTTTTCATTTAGATTGTAGCTGGTAAGTAGTTGGCCGTTGTATATTTTCAATACAATGTAGACATGTGTATAGGAAGATACACTTATCATTCAATAAACAATTGAAACAAACTGAAAGGTTATTCTTGATCCGAAATTATGTGATTGCTTCAGAATCCATGTTGTAGACTTTATCGACATGGCTGGCATTTTGTTGATGAAAGTGGATGACCGGGTGTGTGTGACGAAAATGCCAGCATAATAGGATGTGAAATGGAAATGTTTGAATTGGTATTATTGCACGTTGGCCCACTACCCTGCCAAAAGATCTTGCAAGCAGTGTTGCTGTCGATTTTATTGTATTAAATAATATGGTGTGCTGATATTTTTTAATTATTTATATATGTACGAGTTCAATTAAAAAAACAAATAGCACATATATAAAAAATTTATAAAAACTGACTAATTATTTGAAAAAAATTTAAATTCCGTGATTAGTACAACATAAAGGGTGATACGGTCAAAATTTGGTCAAGGGAAAACGCGTGTAAATCGGTGAAATCGTTTATTTAAAAAATCAAATTAAATTTCTTTTTCAAGTTCAATTAGTATAAAATTCAGGAAAAATATTCAGTTAGGCTTCCGCTTTTCCAAATTCGAATTGCCGGACCTTACGCTTGACCCCTGCCATCAGATTTTGTACAGCCACCTTGTCCACCTTCTTCGCCGCAGAAAGCCAGTTTGCCTTGAACTGCTGCTCGCCCTTAGCAGTTTTTTTGGTCTTCTTTAGGTTCCGCTTGACAATAGCCCAGTATTTCTCAATTGGGCGGAGCTCTGGCGTGTTGGGAGGGTTCTTGTCCTTGGGAACCACCTGCACGTTGTTGGCTGCGTACCACTCCATGGCCTTTTTACCGTAATGGCAAGATGCCAAATCCGGCCAAAACAGTACGGAACAACCGTGTTTCTTCAGGAAAGGCAGCAGACGTTTATTCAAACACTCTTTCACGTAAATTTCTTGGTTGACAGTCCCGGAAGCTATGAAAATGCTGCTTTTCAAGCCACAGGTACAGATGGCTTGCCAAACCAGATATTTCTTTGCGAACTTTGACAGTTTCATGTGCTTGAAAACATCAGCTACCTTTCCCCTTCCTTTTGTCGTATAAAACTCCTGTCCCGGAAGCTGCTTGTAGTCGGCTTTGACGTAGGTTTCGTCGTCCATTACCACGCAGTCAAACTTCGTCAGCATCGTCGTGTACAGCCTCCGGGATCGCGCTTTGGCCGTCGTATTTTGTTTATCATCGCGATTTGGAGTCACTACCTTCTTGTAAGTCGATAGTCCGGCTCGTTTTTTGGCTCGATGCACGGTTGTAGACGATACACCCAGCTTATTTGCGGCATCTCGGAGAGAGAGGTTAGGGTTTCGCTTGAAACTACCGGCAACTCTCTTTGTCGTCTCAGCGGCTTCCGGTTTTCGATTTCCCCCCGATCCAGACTTCCTGGCTGTCGACAAACGTTCCCCAAACACTTTAATTACATTTGTAACGGTTGATTTGGCAACTTTTAGCGATTTTGCCAACATTGCGTGCGAGTAGCTCGGATTTTCGCGATGCGCGAACAAAATTTTGATACGCTGCTCTTCTTGCTTGGACGGCATTTTGACAACTGAAGAGTGAATTACAAAATCAAAATAGGAGCAACATTCTACACACACACACCTTCAAAATGAGGGGTGTTCAGGTTTTTTAAATGCAAAATTGAAAGAAATACGTCAAGTTGATATTGACCAAATTTTGACCGTATCACCCTTTAATAAAAAAAATAATGGGAATATTGATAACATATTTTATGTTACAAGGTTCTGGTAACACTGCCCGATTTCCGCAAACGAAACAAAAATGACATTTGCCGCATGAAAATCAAAACATAAACATCTTTGCAGCCAACAAAGAACGTAAATCATAATCAATATTCTGTCGGAAAACCATACGTGATGTCAAACAAACAAGTTGGGAGAACTTTGTCGAAAGTGTTAACCCGACTACTCCAGCCAGCCAAGAATGGAGTAGCATCAACATTCTTCAGGGAAAAAGACATTGTAATTCAATAACTCTCAACCTCTCAACCGGTCTTACTAACGATGCACAAAAAGTTGCGAATGCATTGGCCGACGAATATCAAATGAAATCATCAGATGTACATTACCCTGAAAAATTCCGCAAAAGAACACAAAAGGAACAAAGATACAGCTTTCAACAACCAACGCCCTAGTATGCATAAACGTTACAACTCAGATTTCACCATTGATGAACTGATGTGGGCACTTAATCGGCGTGGAGGATCCTCCACAGGTGCCGATAACATAAGCTATGTTCTATTGCAACATCTACCATACTCCGCAAAGATCTCCCTCTTGGAGGTGTTTAATCAAGTATGGGATAGTGGTGGCTTCCCGGCGCAGTGGAAAAAAGGGATTGTAATCCCCATTCCAAAACCAGATGCAGATCGCAGTAAACCCGAAGGATACAGGCCAATAACGCTGCTCAGTTGCCTTGGTAAACTATTCGAAAGAATAGTTAACCGCCGTCTCATTACCGAACTGGAGGCAACAGGCAAATTGGACCCACGCCAACATGCCTTTCGTGCCGGCAAGGGCGTTGACTCGCACCTCGCCAAGCTTGAGTCCCTTATCAGCCTTGAAGAAAACGATCACGTGAAAATCGTATCCCTCGATATATTGAAGGCCTACGATTCAACATACAGACCCAAAATATTATGTACATTAGCAGGATGGAGAATAACTGGACGAATGATGAATATTCTGTCCAGTTTCCTTACTGAAAGATACTTTCAAGTAACTGCCAACGAACCACTCTCAAGTATCAGAAAAGCTGAAAACGGAGTGCCACAAGGCTCAATCCTTTCTGTAACTCTGTTCCTCGTAGCTATGCAGCCAATTTTCAATGTCATACCAACTGGAGTTGGAATCCTCCTTTACGCAGACGATGTCATTCTCATAGCAAGAGGAACCAATCATGGAACTATTCGTACTTAGAAAAGCTGTTGTAGCTGCCATCGCTCCAAGCAAATCCAAACAACTTCACGTCTGCCACCTTCGCCACCGAAAATGCAGTCGGGCTATAAAAATCAACAGAACTCCAATCCCACTAGTTACAACTCTTGGAGTCCTAATCGACTCTAAGTTAATTTTTTTAAGGAACTTTGCAGCCACTAAACAAAGCTGTCGCAGGAGAATCAACATTCTACGAATACTCGAACATCGCCTCAAAAGGAGTAATCGATCAACTCTGCTTAGAATAGGATCAGAACTGGTCTTATCGAAACTTTTTATGGCCTGGGAATCACGAGCGCCAACATCGAAGCAATGGAACGAATCCTAGGGCCCACTTACAATGACGTAGTACGTCAGGCATCTGGTGTATTTCCAACTAGCCCCATCATTTCTATAATGGCTGAGGCTGGTTGTCTCCCCTTCCGTCTTTAAATTATCCAACGTTTAAGCTGAGTTTAGACTAGGCAAGTCAAATGATCAACTCAGATGAATTCAATTGGTTTGAAAAGTTGAGCCTGGTTTAACTTTTTCCAATTCAAGTGAGTTGATCAAGTCACTTGAATGGCATGGTTTGCACGTTCAATTCGCGTTCAAGTCAGTTGAATTCAACTGACTTGATCAATT